CTATTTCATGTTTGTTATAGAAATATTTTCTCTCAAACATAATAAAAATATTATGAATGGGACCTGTGAGCGACTCAGGAAAATCTGTATAATCTCCAGGAGTCACAACTGTGGGAGGACAGGCCCTACACCTGTCACAATGAGCACATCCCGCCCGCCCACGCTGCTTTACTGCCAAGAGAGGGTTATCGCAGGAAGTGCAGATCGCTGGACACCTGCGCTAGGAACCAGGGACACTTCTGGGCTCCATCAGTCTAACTGGGAAGACAGGTGGACCCTCCAGAGAGGCCTATCTCACCATGTCCAGCAGGCATGAACAATGGGAAATTATTTACATGGACATTTTAAAAGCATGTCATCCTTGAGGAAGTGCTGCAATTCCCCTAAATGTTTAATAATAAAATATTCGGACTGAATTTTTAAAATAAATAAATATCACCTGTCATTTTAATGAGTCACTGTTATTTCAACTTGAAAGTTAAATTTAAAATCAAAACCACTCACAAACGTACATGCTTCCAGCCAAGTACACTATCTAATGGCACGCAGCCAAGGTCCTGGAATTACTGCAAACTGGAAAATCACATTCATAAAGTATTATTACCTCCATGACAGCAATGAAATACTCATTCCAAGTCATCGTTCTTAGATCAGAGAAACAGCAGGAACAAACCCAGGAGTCAAAACTTCAACAAGAACGCCTACAACACTCAACCTTGGGCTCTAAGAGATGGCACCCTACTGACGGATGGGTTGAGGGCAGTGCTGAGACTGAACCCAGGGCCTTCCCACTGAGCTACGTCCCCAAGTCTGTCTCTCTGTCTCTCTCTCCTTCATCCCCCCATTCCACCTCCCCTCCTCTCTCTCTCTCTCTCTCTCTCTCTCTCTCTTTGGGCTCGAACTTGGTGGTCCTCTTGCTCAGTCTTCCACAGTGCTGGGATTTCAGGTGTGCTGCACCACAGCTCACTGAGAATACACACTCACCTGACATAAAACCACTCCCAAGGTGAGGAATAAGCACAAGTACATGATGCCGATTACAACACTACTGAATGACTGTTAGGAGTACTAGAAATGATTAGCATTTTCACTCAGAAAGTAAAAAGGAAGTTAATGCATCCCTATTTGCTCAGAAAATATTTTGTGTGTGCTACTGTATTATGCTGAGTACTAACAGATGTACAGGACACAGTCTATGTCCTTATGGCTTCAGATTTTAGCAAAAATGTAAAAATAAGCAATTACCAAAACATACGCGAACTATTATTCATTTGTTTCCTAGCCTATTTAACAAATGTAAGCATTCTATCTGATGTGTAGTTCTTTTTTCTTTAACCACCGTCACAATAAGTGCATTGCATTTGGTCCTCTGATTCTCCCCAGGCCTCCAAGCTTATGAAATCCATCTGCAAGCATTTCTGGGCTCTGACCCACAGCCTGCCCTCTCTCAGAACAGTTGGGATTGGTAGAGACAGCTTCAAAATGAGATTTCATAACTCAGCCACTTAAGAAAAGCTATCCAAACTGAGGTTAAAAATTTTGCTGAAGATAATACCCCTTTAAACAACAATAACAACAAGCCCAGAAGTAGTAGAATAAACAAGAAACCTTGGAGGAAAAACATTCATGTACCTTTGGAGAGTACTTAGCGTTAAATCTACATTTTGTTTCTTCAGGGTCTCTGTTTGACCACATCCAACAAGTAAGAAACAGGTTAAAGTTTGTGATCACATCTTACATTTCTTCCTCTGAAAAGGCTGCAAAGGCATGCATACTGTAGGCTCAGAGTACATTCGTACAAAGTTGTTTGACTGTCAAACTCAGAAAGGCTCCCAAATTTATAAATATGTGCTTAAAATAAGTCTATGCCAGGTGTGGTGGCATGTGCCTGTAATCCCAGCACTCACGAGGTTGAGGCAGGAGGATCATTGTGAGTGTAAGGCAGTGAGTTTGAGACCAGACCAAACTACATAGTATGACCCTTTCTCAAAAATCCAGAAAAAAAAAAAAGACAACTGATTTCCTCACTAATTTATACACGACTTTTTCCATTAAAAGCAGGTACTAAGACAAAAATATTCTAATGCAAGTTGCAACTCTGAGATTCCTACTTTTTTATTGACTCACATTTACTTCTGTTCCTTAATACAAACTGAGCTAAGGTCATTCCAGATGTTTGTTTAATGTGTCTTTTGCAAAAGTATGACTAGAGAGTTCATTTTAAAAATCTGTTCTAGGGCCGGGGATTTAGCTTAGTGGTACTGCCACCTGCCTTGAAAGCACAAGGTTCCACGTTTGAATAAATAAAAATTCCTTCTCTTCACTCAGTGTTTCATTGCTTTTTTAGAAGGATCTATATCAAAATACTATTTATAAAAGTCTTCTTTTTTTAAAAGGGCTATTAAAATTCACCCGTTACTTCCAGTAACAGAGGACTAAGTAGTTTGGAACAACCTTTTCACTGTGATAGACTGGAAAAGCTAGACAAGGTGCAAATAAGCAAGCACCAGCTACTGGAAGACACTGCCAGCTCACAGAGAGTGAGGTCAGGCAGAAGCCCTCAGGGGTGACACGGCCTCTGCAGCTCTTTTCCCTAGGTACATTTTGCATTGTGCAGACAGAAGCCCAGCTTCAAATTGTCTCAATTCCTGACAGGAAGATAAGCCAAAAGTAAGCAGGCTTATAGGTGTAGAACACAAGAGAAACAACAGACAATAAAAACAGACACGAATAGAAAATAAGTCAGAAAATGTCAAACTTAACAGGTATACATTTCAAACTAAATACACTTCATGCACTCAAAAAAAAAACCAACAACAAAAAACAAACCCCACATAAGATTAATGATTTTGTTAGAGTACTGCAAGTACAGATTACATAAGCTAAAAAGTACAAGATGTTAAAACTAACCATGTACATTTAGCATCATAATTGACTTACAAAGAGTGAAAGATGGAATGTAAAAATAAAAATTAAAAATAAAACCTCAGGAAGAAATGAGAGCTATAAGACACCAAGATACAGGAAATCCTGAGGTGTGGGCTTCAGAATAACACCACTGACTGCATCCCCAGCAGTGGAGACAATGGAAAACAGGCAGAAGAAACAGCTGCAGAGACTTTTCCAGAACAGATCAAAGACAGAAAGCTGTGACCCAGAAGAAGGCTAAGAACAAAACACCACTATGGTACGGGTCCGACAACCTCAGTGAAGCCACAAAACCGAAGAGGAGAACAACTGCGCACAGAACTCCCAGGCTGAGCAGCATCTCTGGGCAGGTTCTGTCGACTACCCCCAGGCCACCGTTCTCCAGTTGAGCTGCTGTGTCCAGGCTCCAGGATTTCCAGTCCTCCTGCCCTTCCTACCTTTTAGACCTCTGTCTTCACGGTGCACAGAATTCAGGGTTAAACACATCCAGCCTGCTCCTTGGGGCTGCTGAGACATGCTGCTTCTATGTGCTACTTCAAGTTTAAGATAGAAGAAAAAAGGATCATAGAGCCAGGCATGTGACACACTGGTGCAATCGTAGCACTCGGGAAAGCTGAGATAGGAGGATCCCAAGTTTGAGCCCAACCGGGGCAATTCAGTAGTTTTGTCAGACTCTGTTTGAAAATAAACAATTTAAAAGTGAAGATTCAATCCCCAGTATCAAAAAGAAAAAAAAAGAAGGAAGGAGAAATGTTTACTGGGACTGTCAAAACGCATCAGACTTCGAAAGCTTTTTTGTAACTACAGAACAGCATGAAAGCCAGCTCTCCTATGAAAACACGGAAACTCCCATCCCATACCCCAGACATCCACTCTCCATTTCAACAGACATGTCCTTCAGCAATCAGCTGATGAAGAAAGACTTCCTACAAACTTGCTTGTTTGCAACATTAAATCAATTATATAAGATTTTTAAAAAACTAGCAATTGTTTGTTTAATAGAATTCAATTCCTTAGTATATACAGTGGTATCTCAATTCACAAAATTAATTTGTTCCACAATTCTGGGGAAAATGGCTGAGGTACTGTTCATCACCTGATGTGGAGTTCATGAAACGACAGAATTTGCCAAACACTTCAGTTTGTGAACTGCACTGTTCACGAACAGAAGCATTTGTGAACTGAGATACCATTGTACTTATACATAAAAAGCAATTGTGTTAAAAAGTCTCAGATTTCAGTTTAACACTGATTATCTTGAAACCTAACAGTAACAAAAACAAGCAGGTAAAAATCTCAGGAAAATAGAATTACTGACATATATGTAAGATACAGGTCAAGAACTGAATTCACCAATTCAATCCTTCTAGAGTTCTGTCCTAGACTTTTAATACCAGAAAACTAAATTCAGTGTTGTTGACTCATTACAACGTAAGATGTCAACATAAACACCTCTCCCCTCTCCACATTTAAAGACCTCAAAGTACTGCGAGGCTGTGCCTTTAAAAATGCATATGAAGAAAGCTGGATCATTCTTCCTGCTAGCCTCTAAGAAGATAAGCCAAGGTCTATGTATCTTGCTATCTAAATCTGCACTTCTTAACACTCACCCCACAAGGAGAGTGCCCTTGCTGCTGTCCTCTGCATCTGTTGCTAGTCTGTCTAGTGCCCCCTACTGACCTGAATCATTGTTTATGATAATAAGGCTGTGAGGGTTTTAGGTTAAATCACGCCTAGGTCAGAAGTCAAAGATTTACTAGTCTGTACTCCTATCTAGTAAATACTTATTTAGATCTGAAAGACAACAAATGCTGGTGCAGCCCACACGCTCTTTGGAGAGAAGCTGTGGTCATTTTCACAAGCCAGATATGCACAGGCAGTGTGAGAGCTAAAACTGCCAATACTAGCTCTGTCCCGACTGACAGCAGCACTCGGTTTTATAGTCAGACTTTCCCAACATTTACCCATGTTTAAAAAATAAACACAGTGGCCCAGCCTAGTTTGCTTTGTAACCTGAAGTAGAAATTCTCATGTAGCAGCATTAAAAAGTTTGAAATATTGCACACACTGACCTTTTTGCTTTTCCCATTTTCCTCTGACTCCTCGTGAGGTCTGATGAGGTCCTGAACACCTTCCCCTGAGCCATATGAAGCGTCATGCCTTGTTGGTCCATTTGTAACATCTAAAACCCAACAGACTAAAGGTTAGCTAGTTTAGGTGGTCTGATTGCTAATGCAACTTAAGCAAAATAAAAATTAAAAATTATACTTATTTATGCAAATGGTTAACAGGAAAATATAGGACCCTTAAGTAAATTCCACTTTGCCTGGTGCTTTAAGGTCTATTTAGACTGTTCAGTTTAATCTATGTAAGTATCCCAAGTGATTCATTTAGCCCAATGGTCAGACACCATTTCACCTATTTGGTTAAAATTTGAATAGTATCACATCACTCCATTTGATAATGCAAGAAAATGTATGCTTGTTCCTTATGCATTATTCAACCTTCAATTCTTAGATTTTAAGATAAGGGTATGGGCCAGGGATTTAGCTCAGTGGTTCCACTGCCTGCCTCACAAGCACAAGGACTCAAATTCGATCCCTGATCCCCCGCCACCCCCAAAAAAGGATAAGGGTAAAAACCAGCTCCTGAGAGAAGGCAGTTTTGTGTCAGAGGCAATAAATAATTCAACCTCAGGAAATAGTCTCCAGTACATAGTATTAGGATTCAGTCTACAAATGATTACTGATTACGTTCCCCTACACTTCTACCTCATATCTGCTGGACAGTATGATAAAACCAGATATAACTAAGTTTGAGAGCATGACAGGAAAACTTTTACTGTTTTCAAAATCAGAGTTCTAGCTAAGTGAAAAGTACAGACAACCATGTTTAAGTGTTTTCCTAAATTCAAGCTAGTTGTCGTTTGCAAACTGGGCCTCAAAAACATTTTAAGGTTGGGTTCTGGGCCAGAAACCAACATTCTTTGCCTATATTCTCCAAACATTCCTCTGGAGACAAACCAATCACACATGGAGTTCCCCCCCCCTCCAGTCTCCGGTCAGTCACGCCATCCTAGCCCTGCTAACGCCCAGGGTCGAGGCCACAGTGACCTCAACCAGCTTAGTACAGGCTCTGATGGAGCAGGAGGGCCAGGAGGCCATGCACAGCATGTAATGCAGCTTGCATCTTACTCTAAGGTCTAGCTAAACTTGGTTCTTTGAAGGAAAGATTATCTGTCATTTATGTATTACTTTCTACAACTTTCAATGATCTTTTTTTTTAAATACTCAGAACTCCTAACCTCACTGGTAGGAGATGAACAAAACTTATTTCTTATCTTTAAGATCTAAGATGAAAAGTAATTAGATGTTTAGAATTAGTATTAACTGTATCCACTATGTCTTTGCCTTTTAAAACACAAATAGAGTATATCAAATTAAAACAAACTGAACTAAAAACAACTTGGGGATGAAACGTTTTCTTGTTATTTAACCATGAATAAGTTTGCAGTTTACAGTGTATTCAAGATTCTATAATAGTCACTTGCCTCAGTTCTTGCTACCAATAAAACAGGTTGAAAAGCATTCTATAAACAAAAAACTCTAGGAAATGCATGATAAACTTCTAAAACTTAAGAAAGACAGATGCTGCCAAAGATATTCTTCAGGATTTCACAAAGCATGCAGTCACAAAATAATGGAATTAAATGGTTTCTTTATTACTAAGACATTTTGCAAATTCTGCTAGTGTAGTGATAGGTTTTCCTTAAGGATGTAACAGGAAACCCTAAGCAGCTGAGAAGCGAGGCGGTTCTGCAAGCCTAGTGTTGAGTAGGCCGACTGCTTCGTGCTACTGGAGAGGACACAGTCCACGTCCCATCTCCAACTCTGCCAGCCCCGGGTGACACTTCACATCTTGAAGTGCTACTGCTGTCACCAGATCTCCTCTTACTTGACTGCTTTGCATAAAACCACCATTATCCAAAGTTTTAACTCCCTGTCCCTGGTCCAGACCTGCCAGCTAGGGTATGCATGTCTATAGTTCAAACCACCCACAGAAACAGATATTTGTAGGTATCAGGTTCTGTGCCAAAGTCAAGGACTAAGAAGGCTTCTAAAGCTGACTTTAGAATCCAACGTTTTAATATGTAACAAGTATGTAATAGGAGGACCGGGGATCTAGCTTAGTGTTTCTACCTCCTGCTTTGCAAGGACAAGGTCCTGAGTTCGATCCCTGGTCCCCCTCTCCCCAAAAAAGTATATAATAGTACTGTAATATGAAATTTCTTCTGAGCTCCAAAATTCTGAATTACTTAACAACACAGAGTGCAAAATCTTAAGACTGTGGAAAGAACCTTAAAAGATACCTAGAAAAACTCCTTTCCATATTTACCTCTGGGGTACAGGCAAGACACACAGTGGTTCTGCACAAGTGAACCTCAGCTGAGGTCCTACTCCTACTCACTCATCTGTCAGAATAACAAGTTCACTTTGTTAACTTGGGGAAAAGGCAAATAGAATAATGCTCTTTAACTAATGTGTAAGTTTTCCCCTTATAATTACTGGAGGAACAAATAAATGTTTCCTATATACAAAACTTTTAAAATTATATAATTAACCATGGGAGTTATTTGTATCTTTTCTTTGATACTTTTATATTGCTTATTTTGACCATATCTTCCCTACTTGTCTGATATTAACATCATACTGATGAGTCTGTGTGGACCCTTGTTCAAAGTGCATTACTGGAGTGAATGGACCAATCAGCTGAGACCCAGCAGTTTTCTCTCCCTGAGGCCAGCCTTCCTGTTCAGGTTGCACAGCCCACGCTGAGCTGGGAAGCTCGTCTGCAGTCCTAACACCCGGTGAGTGGGATGGAATCTTTCCGGGAGAGCAGCTGAACACATTTGTGAATATATTTGTGGATTATGTGAACTGCCCGAAAGTACAATAATTACTCTTCAATTTAAAATACTTGAGGGGGCCGGGGATTTAGCTCAATGGTTCCAGTGCCTGCCTCACAAACGCAAGGACCTGAGTTTGATTCTTGGTACCACAAAAAACAAAAACAAACAAACAAAAACAACAAGGAATACTTAAGGTACCTGTTGCTATCATAATTTACAGTCCCACTTGAATAATACTCAGGATATGCAAAATATCACATATCAAACAATATGAAATACCCATGATTGCCTAAGTTCAGTTCTTATTAAACTCACACATAACATTTTTAACTGATTCCTCATGCTGCTTTCAATGACACAAAACAGCTGCAAATTCATATGGTTACTAATCCAATTTAAAATTAAAAGTACTTACTTTAGGATTATGAATATGTCTTTTACAATTATGGCATTTTGCCTATCATTCTGCACTGGAGTGATCATCTAAGTGAGCCCCACCTCGAACCCAGTCACCCCCCTACACAGACACTAATTCATCACAGTATTCTTCCTCCTGGGCCTCATTGGCCTTCCAACCTCAGAGACACAGGCAGTGACCATGGCAGTCTGAGTCTGCAGAGGCGATTGGTGCACTATGATGAAACTTTTTGTGATAATCGCTGTGCTATAGTTTAGAGGTTTGGGCTGATTATGGGATATGAAGTAAACGTTAGCTCATCCCCACCGAAAACATTCCAGGAGTGATCAACTAACTACCAAGTTACCAGACACCATACTCCAGAACCAATTCCAATCTGTAGGCCCAGCAATGAAGGCTTTGCTGCTGAAATGGGTGAGAAATACGCTGAAACGAGGAACATCATCAGCTGGGTCATCAGCATGTCAGTATCTCATTCGTTATACTCATACACTATTTACAAACTCAAGAAAGATGGATTCACGTACACACTATAGAGATATCCCCTACCCACACATAAGCGAGGCATACAAACCTAGAATGGGCAGAAGCTAATATCCCAGGGGTTGACATCCAATGGCTATATGATAAAATGCAAGGTTAAAGGATATCTAGTAGCCTGCGGCTAGCAAGTTTACAGAAACTTGCCCCGAGAATACTGTCTGCCTGCCATTGGAACTTTTCATAAAAGGTAGAAAACTAGGGGACAGAGACTGGGGCTCCAGTATCTGCTGCTTTGGTGAACTGTTTTCTATCTGCTTGCCAAGAAATGTTCAATGAACGGCTGTCTGAAACTTGCCCCCACGAAGATCTAGTAGACAGTGTTGGTAGAACAGCTATCTTCCACATCCAGTAGTTAGTGACAACTGTCTTTGAAAAAGAACCTAATGGTTTGCATGTTAGCTTTCCCATCACTAAAAATACCCAATATCCACAACTTAAAAGGTTTAATTTGGCTCGCGGTTTCATGGGATTCAGTCCATGGTAAACTGCTTCCAAGGAAAAACGTCATGGCAGAAGAACATGGTAGAGCACAGGTATTTAGTTCAGAAACACAGGAAGGAAAGAGCACCAAAAAGGTGATGGGACGAAGAACCAGACACAGCACACAAGGTGATGCCTCCATAACCACCAAAACATACTCAAAAGCATACTTTTACTAATCTGCTAGGCATTTCTTAATCCAATCAAGTTGATAAATCTCATGATTAATGGTCACATGGTTTGGACACGTCCACACTGCTGAAAGAAGCAAACACCTATGTGTAAAATGCTGACATGTAAAATCTCACCACACAGCCCTGAAGAAAATCTGCATTAACATGTTCACAATGGGGCTGTAATTTGTTATGTCTCACTGCTGGGTGACTTGTATCACCAGTGGTACATACGTGACTGTCCCACTGGGCAGCTTCTTATTAATTTTACTAGTAAAAAGACAAATAAAAGTGATTAGATCTGTTCATACCACAGTGGTACCAGAAATACGCTATAGTGGTACAGAAATAGGCTACACTGAAAAATGGAAATCTACAGAAACAAATATATCAGAAATAGTAACAAATATTAAGGCGCTAAGGAAATGTAATTCCATGTGCACACACCACTGGTGGATCAACTTGGTAGGAATATATTAAACCAGTGGCTGATATAGTGGAGTGTGAAAGGTCCTGTTTCCACTGGTGATCACATGGGTCTCGGGAAACCCTGTTTTCCTCTTTATTAGTGAAAGGCAACTAGGTCCCCAGCCATCTCAAGATGATAGCTGGTTTTATCTATGTGGTGGTTCAAACTGACACCAGGTGGACTAAGAGCTGCAGTCAGCAGTGTTGGAATCAGACAGAGGTCATTTTAATAAAGTAACTAACAACAAACTGCTTTAATGCTGTTGAAAGCCACAAAGATGAGGTCTCCATTTCCATGCACATTTGCTGTGGACATTTTTCCTGAGTTCAAACTGTTTCCAGCAGCATCTCCAAGGCTGATGCAAGAGAAAAGGGAGTTTTGTAATTTACAATCCCAATTTGCAAAACTGAAGAGCTTCCATTTAGCTCCCAATTGCAATGACTAACCTGTACACTAAAAGGCACCTCAAATCCAACAAAATTCCATTAATACCTTCTATACAATGAGTACGAGGAACCTCTGCCTATGGACTGATACCAGGATGTGACATTAAATATGTGAAAAGGCACTTACAGAGGGAAATACATAAAATCTTACCAAAAAAATCTTATTCATCAGCCTTCATCAAATTAATTTTGGTGACAAGAACACTCAGTTTGAGCCCTAATTAAATGAAATGCAGTTTTCCCTTTCCTCCAATACAAGAATTCTACTATCAGTGCTAGACCTGTATTACAAAAAATTTACTCAATTTTGAGTTGCATCAATATATATTTTGTGAAAGGGTCTTTCTCCTATCACTTAATTATCTACACAAGTACCTTGATTTGGCCCACAAACTCAAATATTTACTGTCAGGCCCATTATAGAAATAGGCTACACTGAAAAATAGAAATCTACAGATACAAATACATCAGAAATAGTAACAAATGTTACGGCACTAAGGTAATGTAATTCCATGTGCTCACAAGCATCCTGTAAACTACCTGGTTGCACCTGTGTGTCCACCAGCACAGATGTCTGGACAGAAACATAAGTCTGTTCTCCGAAGTATCCAGGGTTACACTTAACAACAAATCTCATTTGGTCTCCCTGTTCAAAATTCCAAGTAGTTTCTGAACAAACTGGAAACCAATTTAAAAACAGATATGCCTCAGCGGGGACAAGAGGCACTGAGGAGGCACTCCCGCTACCTCTCCACTATCTTCTCCTGCCCTCCTTCCCCGCCCAGGCATGTCACTGCACTGGCCTTCTTGTTGCTGCGGGCTTCTGTCTTACTTCAGGACACCTGTACTTGCCTAACCTCGAGCTGAAGTGTGATTTCAGCAGTGGTCACAGGCCCCTCCACAATGTCACCTCCTTCCTTTGCCTTTGTCCTCGCATAGTTGCTGCTCCCCAGCTGACCACCTGATGTGAGCGTTTTCTCCCTGCCTGCCCCAGGAATGCACCACTGGGAAAGGGGGCAGTGTGAAGGGTGCTGCTTCCCGGCAACCGCCCCACAGACCAGAAGGACGCCAAGATGGGACATGTGTACCCCTTCACAGCTGTTAACTAAAGGAAAGAAGGCAGTGGGGAATATGATGAGGAAAATGTCATCTTTTTAAGTCTTTGTTACAAGAGGCATGTACCTGAGTACTGCTTATAAAATTGGGAATAAAAATGTAAAAAATAAAAAATATATATTTAAAGATTATTTTAAGAAATTAAGTCTTCCTCCATTCCTGTTGTTAATGTTTAATACTGAATCTTTTCTGGAAACCTTTATTACACACTATCTTGGCAACAACAACAACTCCAAGTACACAGACAACAGAAATCGGGAGACTTTTATTCCAACAGTAAAGAGTGAAGGTCTAGCTGGACATACAGAGCAGTCTTCCGTGCTCCTCAGTTCTGGTAGGTAGGGAGTGTCCATGTGAACTTAAGGCTTTCTAGTTTTATCTATGGTGGATTTGCTGAGTCCTGGGGACAGTTTCAAACATCAATGGAAGGGTTTATATCTAGGCTAGGCAACGTGAAAGTCTGCTCTTGCACTGGGGTCCAGTGAATTTCTGTCTCGTGGGGACAAAGGCAGATGCCTGCAGAAGATGCCCTGTGTCAGGGCGAACCGAGGTTCCATCCGAGTCGTGCCAAGTCACACCAGGGCGTTCCCCCAGCACCCAGACGGCTCCGCCACAGGATCTCCAAAAGCTTTCATCTCCTCCAGGTCCCAGGAGCCTACACTGCTGCCCTGCTTCCTCTTCCATTTAGCCAGAGGCTTGGGCTGTGGACACAGAGGGCACGGCCCTGGAACGGAAGTGTGGCTGCCTTCAGGGACCATCACACTCCAGAGGACACCAGGACCAAGATGTGCCGCACTAGGGGACGGCAGGCTTCCTTCCCTACTTGATGTTCATGCCATCACAAGCTTGAAAATACACACTGGAGAAAACTGAGAACGTGAGCTTTAAAAACAGGGTATTCTGGACTATAAAAACAAGCCAACATACATGCTGTGTAATACTTGAGAGTCAACATGACTTTATATTTTAAAACACATTAAGCCTAATGTAACATAGTTTCTCATAGATTTTAATATGTTCAGAAAACTAATATATAAAGTAGACTTAAAATATAAAAAATTGTTTTCTTTGTGTGACATAATTATGCTCAAGGAGCTTATGCTCAAGGAAAATATATGTAATACATCTGCGGTTATTTTAACCGTATGACTTCCCTATCTTGAAAATGGTGGTTAAAATCATTTGAAGAGTAGAGAGTTGGTCCTTTTCATGTTCTGGTTTGTTTCAGCAATACTTGGTATTGAACCTGAGCTACATCCCCAGCCCTTTTAAAAATTATTTACATGGGGCTGGGGATGTAGCTCAGTGGTGCTGCCACTTGCCTCATAAGTGCAAGGTCCCAAGTTCAATCCCTGGTACCCCCCCAAAAAATTATTTACAATATTTTTTTTTCTTAGAGACAAGGTCTCACTAAATCACTAAGGCAGGGCTCAAACCTTTGCTTTTCCTGCCTCGGCCTCCAGAGTGCTGAGATTATAGGCAAGTGCAACAACACCCAGCTTTTATTAAAATTTTAACCAAATCTTCAGATAAACATGGTCACAGCTCAATATTCCTTTAACTTTGCTAGAACCTAAGTGCAAGATGTTTTTATTATTGCTACTTTTGCTACAATTACTAAAATTATATAGTTCATTATTATATCTTCAATAAATAAGTCACTATAATATGCATAATTAAAGATTGGAATAGAACCAATTAAATTATATGCCTAAAGCAAAGTAATAGAAGTCAAACAAGTACTGTCATAAATGAACTTTCTACTGGAGGAAAATGCTTTAAAAATATTTTCTCATATTCAACATTACCCCAAGTTTCTTAAAAAATTATTGATAAAATATGTCAAAATTTCAAGATTTATTTTTCATAGCGGCTCTTTCTAGAAATAATTGAAGGCTTATGCTATCTTCATTTCTCTCTAAATATGCAATCACACTAGTGTAATGCCAGGTCTGACGAGTCCCACCAGTGGCTCCCCACCCGGCCACGTCACACTCACGCGGGACTGGCTGGCCAGGAAAAGCACTCGCTCTGTGCCGCTGTCCGGAGGGTACTGTGGACCCTTCTGATCTAAACATTGAGGCAAGGGGGAAATGTATCCCTGACCAACAAGCCTACAGCAACAAGCCCAACAAATCTCCCAGGCGACAAGCTATCTACCCTAAAGAATTTATCATCGGGAAATGTCAAATGCACATTAAAAAAAAAGTGTTAAGGGGAGGAATAAATACATTATGAAGAAGTTGTGATGCATTTAAAAGGTGGATCAATCACTAGGATGTGTTGGGCTAACAGAGACACAGGGGAAAGGAGACTGATGTACTTCCACTGTATCCCAGGACTATGTTTTCCTTTTCTTCCTCTGCAGATCGCTCCCCATGAGGGTCACCTCCAAAGTACAGCCTGCACTCCTGTGTGTGCCTTGCAGGTGTGCTTGGCCCTGCAGCGTCAGGGCCCTCTTTCGGGGCGCTTCTCCTGCCAACTGGTTCTCTTTCTGCTCTACTGCCCTCCACAGGGGCACAGCTGCCCTCCTGTTCTGGCCCTGCCAGGCTGTGGGTGTCATGGGGATGGTGACTTTCCGTGGGCCTTGCATCCTCTCCCTGGGGACGCCCAGCCTGCCTGCAGCACTCCGGGTTTTCTTCAGCAGCAGATGTGTCCTCCGCAGCCAGGCAGGCAGGACTCTGGAGGATGGAGGTAGGTTTTGCTGTCAAATTGGTGATGCTGGCAGATCTGGGTTTTTCCCCAATGCAGGAGAGGTCAGACATTTCCAGGATGCTCACTCTCTCCCTCTTGGAAAGACTTCTGCAGTTGAAGTGAGCAGGATCTGCCGACGGCCTATACTCAGGAGGACAGCTTGTTGAGGTCCTCTCCTGGAGGTTCTCAGGGGAGAAGTAATCCTCATAAGAGGACGCTTCATGGTCAGGAGTCCCCACAGTAGCTGAGGATGGGAACTGCAGGCTTGGGCTGGATCTGAGCAGCTGCTCCCAGGGCACAGTGGACCTCCAGCAGCTCTTCCTCCTCTTCAGAGTTGACCTTGGAGGTGAACATGGATCCACTGATGACCTTTTTATCTTTGCTGAGGAGCTCCTGGGCACTGAATGCAGCCAGAGACACCCTCTGGTTGCAGATGTCACAGGACTGCTTTTCTCCTCACACGTGTCAGACACCCTTTGGGCCTGTGCTCCATCTGGCGTGATAGTTTCACCACCTGGGTCTCTCAGATGACTGACTTCTGCCTTTGGAAGATCACGTATACATGTCTGGGGACTTAACTCACCGAGGCGGCTGGATGATGCCAGTGAATGAGTATTACTTGTTTTCAGCACAGGTGAGAAAGTGCACATATCACTTTCAATTTCCTTAACAAATTCTCCCAATTTCCCGTCCTGATTTCCACATCCTGGTTTTCCACAGAGATCACCCAAAGATGAGTACAAACCACCAGCAAAGGATTCATCTGGAAATATTAATAAAGCATTAACTTTAAAATGGTTTAAATTATAAATAGAATTTTCAGATGACTGATAAAATAAAACTTTCAAGCACAGAAGGACCCAACTAAAAGAGAGTACTACAGGCAAATCTCCCTAATGAACACAGATGCAAAAATCCTTAATGAGATACTGGCAAACCGAATGCAGCAAATCATCAAGAGGATTATACATCATGGCCACATAGGATTCATCCCAGGGATGCAGGGATGGTTCAACATATGGAAATCAATACATGTAATACACTATATTAACAGAGCAAAGGAAAAAAAAACACATGATCACCTCAATAAATGCAGAGAATGTATTTGACAAAGTCTAATATCCATTCATGGTAAAAAAAAAAAAATCCTACAGAAAACTGGAATAGATGGTCTTTACCTCAATCTGATAAAAGCCATCTACAACAAACCAACAGCCAACATTATACTAAATGGACAAAAAAATGAAAGCTTTCACTCTAAAATCAGGAACAGCAGCAGGATATTCACTGTCACCTCTCTTATTCTATACAGTTCTGGAAACATTAGCAAGACAAGAAAAAGAAAAAAAAGGAAGAAGTTAAATTATCATTATTTGCAGGTAACAAGATACTCTACACAGAAGACCCAAAAAACTCCACTAAAAGACTTCTTGTAGATTTAATAACCAAATTCAGTAGCATTGCTGGATACCAAGTCAACACCCCAAAATCAACAGCATTCCCATACACAAATAACAAACTCACTGAGAAAGAAATTAGGGAAGCAACACCTTTCACAATAGCATCCAAAAAAACAAAATAAAACAAAACCAAAAAACAAACCTAGGAATCAATCTAATGAAGTAAGTAAAAGAACTCTACATTGAAAACTACAGTAATCTGAAAAGAAGATAAAAGAAGCTGTCAGAGAATGTAAAGATATCTCTTGTTCTTGGGTAGGAAGAACCAATATAGTGAAATTGTTACTATACTTCCAAAATTGTTATATAGATTTAATGCAATCCCCATCAAAATTTCAAGTGTATCTCACAGAATTAGAAAGAACAATCCTAAAATTCATTTGTAACCAAAAGAAATTTAGAATAGCAAAGGCAATCCTGGGCAGCAAAGACATGACAGAGGCCTCACAATCCCTGACTTGAAATTTTACTACAGAGCCACTGTGATTAAAAACAGCATGGTACTGGCAAAAAACAAAACAAAACAAAAAACAAATAGACCTGAGGATCAATGGAACAAACTAAAAGAGGCAAAAACAACACCAAACACATTCAGCTACCTTATCTTTGACAAAGGGGCCAAACACATTCACTTGAAAAAAAAAGATAGCCTCTTCAATAAGTGGTGCTGAAAAACCTGGCTTTCCACATGCATAATGAAGACTAAAATTAGACCCATGTGTCTCACCATGCAATAAATTAAAATTGAAACAGATCGAAGATTTAAATATTAAAACTGAAACACTAAATCTGCTGGAAGAGAGAATAGGTAGAAATCACTGAAGACTCAGGTGCACGCAAAGACTTCATGAACAGAACTCTGATCACACAGAAAACTGTACAAAGAATTATCAACTGGGATCTCATCCTACTAAAAAGCTTTTGCACAGCAAATCAACAGAGTAAAGAGACAACCTACAGAGTGGTAAAAAATTCTACCCAGCAGTCCCTCAGACAAAGGACTAATATCTAGAACATACAAAGAATTGAAAAAAAAAAAAAAGAGAGACATCCCCCAAAATTTAAAGACTCAATTCAAAAATGGGCTTCTGAAATGAACAGACACTTCTGAGATGAAGAAGTACAAATGGCAAATAGATATATGAAAAAAATGTTCAACATCACTTGTCATTCAAGAGATGCAAATTAAAACAAAGCTGAGATTCCATCTCATTCCAGAGCTGTTATCAAGAAATCAACCAACAAATGATGGCAGGGTTGTGGGGAAAAGGGAATCATTCTTCACTGTTGGTGGGAGTGCAGACTGGTGTAATCATTGTGAAAATCAGTATGGAGATTCCTCAAAAACTAGGATTACAGGTCCCATTTGACTCAGCTATTCCTATTCTGGGTATCGTCCCCCAAAAATCAAAAGCATTATACCACAGGGACATATGCCCACCCATGTTAGCTAAATCTTAGAAATAACCATAATGTCCATCAACCAATGGATGGATTAAAAAAAAGATGTAGTGCCAGGGATTTAGCTCAGCAGTTCTGCCACCTACCTCACAAGCACAAGGTCCCAGTTCAATCCCCAGTGCCAAAAAACAAAACAACAACAAAAAATCCAAACAAACAAAAAAGATGTGGTTTTTCTACACAATGGAGTACTACCCAGCCATAAAGGATAAACTTGAGAAATTTATAGCTAAACGATACACCCTGAAGCTACACTAAAAAGTGAAATAAATTGGACAAGTGTAAATGTTACTGTCTCTCTAGTTTAAGCAACAACGGGTAAATAGGGACCAAAAGAGGAAAACTGTTCAAAAGGAAAGGGGAACTGGGGGGGGGGATGAGAAAAGAAGAAAAAAATGGAAACAGGGCCTTTGTAAATAGGGAGTGGAAGAGGGGTTGAAAGGAGAAGAAAGGAATGGGTGAAAAAAAAAAAAGAGGAATCAAGATACATCATGTACAGGTCCAAATTCCCTATGATGAATGTGATCAATATGTTTATCTAAAATTAAAAATAAAAAGAAGAGTACTGATTCAATTCTGGTTCTTCTCGTTTCCTTTTAGGGCCATCGTTAAGGCCAGTAGTTTCCACTAGGGAATCTGGGCCTCTACACAGCATGGAGAAGCTCTAAAAGCTTTAAGCGTATCTTCATACGCATGTGCGCTTTTTCCTATAGCTTTTCACCAAACTCTCCAGGAGGTCAGGTATGTAAGATGTAAGTTCTACTGCCTTATGATCTAGGTTGAGCTCTAGTCTTGCACAAAACATTCCCCTAATTAGTACAGCTCATTTTTACCTCCCCAATCCTCTGATTAAATCCCTATACTACATTTATATTAAAAAGTAAGTCATGAGGGAAACTTAACTTTCTGCCCTGCCATGCTGCTTACACTTTCCTTGAGAGCAACGCCAAGCTGCTGCCCCGTTCTGGAAATGACCATTCTTGTCTGCCTCTGTTCACCCTCCAACACCGCTTGGATGCCAGTGCCCTGTGTGTCAGCAACACCCACCCTAGCACAGGGGGACAGGAGCCCCGCAGGCGGGGTCATCTTGCTGGAGGACAGATGCTACCTTTCCTCTTCCTAGGACAGCTGATCCGGGATGGGCCCTCCTTTGAGAAGCCATACAATTGGAGGCAATACAGGAGCGATCACTTTGAACTTACTGAACTTCTCCCTTTACCAAGGGAGAACAGAGCAATCACAGAAGCCCTTCCCTCGCAGCTGTGTTCTGCATGCGCAGGGAGGCCCAGCAGCAGGGCATGTGGTGCCCCTGCCAATGCATCTTCAGGGTCCAGGTCTCCATTCTGGCAGCTGAACGTTCATCATACTTCAGGAAGATACACACACAGTGACACATCCTGATGAGGTTGAACCCCTGCACTTGGCACTCATAAGCCTGTGACCCCGTGCAAGCTGGGTCCTCCTTGGGTCCTGACTTTTTCTCTGGCAAATGGGGATGTTGATGGCACCCCACTCATTGGGCTAATGAGAGAACTGAGTGGGCACAGTAAGGAGGACTCGCAGACCAGAGCCTGCACGTAGTAACAGTGAAGAAGCCAGAATTAGCGGTTATCATTTGCTTCCAGCCTAAGGGAAACACAGTAGGACCCTGGTTTACGAACTTGATTTGTTCTACAGTTTTGGAGAAGATGGCCATACTCCTGTTTGTCCCTTGATACAGTTCGGAAACAAAAACAAAATTCTGCCAAACACATCTGTTTGTGAACCAAATTGTTTACAAATAAGCACTTGTGAACTGAGGCACCACTGTTAAGTGTACGAGTATGAAAAAGATTAGTTAAATGGGTAAATAACTCAAACATGCCCAAAAGAAATAGCAAGAATAAACAATGAATAAGCCAGGCATGGCAGCACATGCCTGTGATTTGAGCACTTTGAAGGCTGAGCCAGGAAGAGCCCAAGTTTAAGGTCAGCCTGGAATACACAGCAAGAATTCACGTCTAGTCTGGATTCTAGAGCAAGACCCTTTCTCAATAAAAGAAAATGAAACAGACTCAACATTGCACTGAGAGGAAGCCTGGGTTTAACTTCTGCCATGGAGACCCTGCGTGTTATCGCTGGTGCTGCTTTCCTGACAAGGTATCCCGCACCCCAGTACCTGTGAACACAGTTCTCTCTCACCACTGCTGACTCAGAAAATGGACAGGGACCCGAAATAACCAAAGGCAAGTGATAACTCTCAGAACTTCCCACCGCACGTCAATCTAGGAATCCAAAGCACACATGCATGTGTACCCTGAGCCCTCAGTAACACCCGGAGGTCTGTTCTTCATACGCTGTGCACAGCCACATTTTCTTAGTCCTGGCTGCTCCCTGCTCTGCTGCGTAAAGTGCACACAGGGGTTCAGGTGAGATCACAGGAATTCTCAAAAGTGAGCAACTAATTCCACAGCGAGAGAGCAAATGCGAGAGAGAAGAAACATGGGACGAAGGGGAGACTGAGCTCAGAAATGTGTCATTCTATTACAGTACCAGGTTTCAGAAGAATATGTCTGCATTGTAGTTTTACCCAGTTGTTCAAATCATCAGAAATAACATGAAATTCTAGGTAAAATAATCATTCGATTCTTGTATCTTAAATATAACACAAGGAAAACAGTAATTTTACCTGCACACAAAGCATTCCGGGAAATGTCCAAAGACGCCGCACACAGAGAGTCGTCGGGGTTTTCATGAGCCTGCTCAGTCCTCTGGGAAGCTGACAAGAGAATCAGAACATCTTACAGGCCTCAGTGTGTTCTAGAGGGTGACATAACAGTACAGGATGGGACCCAGGGCGTTCTCATGAACTTTATCCCCAGCTCCTTTTAACTGCTTATTTGGAGACAGGATTTCCCTGGTCTTACACAACATATACACATTAACTTACTTCTTCTTTCGGCTGCATATCACAGACTGAACATGAAAGAATAAGAATAAAGAAAGATTTTAGGGCAATCTATTACATACAAAATCATAAAATACCTCTATCAATCATATTACTCAAAAAGCATTAAATGATAGATGCACAGAAGTTGTGTGGGATCTTGAAAACCTAACTTGCCTGAATCTAGTCAAAGCTTAACAAAGGTAAACACATGTTTTCTGCTTGTCCTCCTGCTTGATAACCTGGCTCTTTTTCTTCAAGGAAGCACCTACTAGTCACCTCTGTAGCCAGAGCAGCGGTGCCCCACCGAGGGCAACGTGCACCCCAGCAGGTATCTGGTCACGTCTGGAGACATTTCTGGATGTCACAAAGGAACAGATGGTGAGGCATGGTATTGAAACAGAGTCCCCACAAGAAGGACTTATCCAGCCCAAATGCCAATAGCGCTGAGGGTGAGAAACCCTAGTGGTCTCACAGAAAATATCCAGTAATATTTAGCGATAATGTTAACAAGTAGGGCTGCAAATGTTATCTTTAAATGTGATGTGTGCAACACACAGGAAACAAAAGACATTTTTTGTGATTGTATACCCAAAGGTATTTTTTAAAAGAGACTCAGAAGGAAACCTTTCTGAGAAGACTTGATCAAACCACTGTAAAAGCAAAATAAATGTAGGTAAAGAGGGCAAGCACAGGCTGCTGAGTTTTTAACTGTGCCGAATGCAGTTAAGTGGGAAGCAATGGGATCATGAGTTGAAGGTACACCAGTTCACATGCAGCACAATGTCAAAACAGTCGTGATTCCAGCTGGGACAAGGCTGGTTTCTCCGAGACCCACTCTCAGCTATCTCTTAACAGCACTCAGAGTGCATTTAGCCCTGCTGGTGACCAGGAGGCTTGTGACTAGGCCTGGGCCTGGACTGAGGGCAGAACACAGGACAGGGAGTCAGAAGACTGTTAGAGGGGCGGGCTGGGCAGCAGGCACGCACGCTTGGGAAAGGAAGCCAGGCCCCAAGTAAAGCACAAAGATGGGGCCTAGATTCTTTGTTTTGGTACCAGAGATTGAACTTGGGTCTTTGCACTTGTGAGGCAGTCGCAGGAACGAGCTAAATCCCCGGGCCTAGGGCCTAGATTCTTAAGAACACCTTGAACAGCCAGCCTGGGCCTGGCTGCCACTTCTGGACTTGACATACAGAGAAGTGCAATCTTGCCTAAGTTAATTCACCAGTTCTTCTATTGAGTACACGCAGCCGAGACTAACAACTGACACAGTGTGCGTTTGTATCATATAAAATATAAACGCAAGATAGATTATGCTGCCTTAAAAAAAGCTCTTGCAAATCACAAAGAAATGAAAAACATAACAGGCAGATGGACAAAGATATAAAATTCACAGAGACAAATGTTGATAATATCAGCAACTCACAGTCAATCACATGAAAAGATATTCAACTTCACTAATAATTGAAACAAATTAAATATAGTTTTTCAATATTCAGATGTCTTCCAAACTGAAAAAAGATTCAAGGCTAATGGCACCAAGTTTTCCAAGTATGGAGAAACTGGGATTTTTATAAACAATCAATGAAGGGCATCTATGGAGGGCATCGATGAAGGGTAATTTGTACATCAAAACATCAAGATGTCATTACGAATTAATACTTAAACACATGAGGTACAAAGAAATAATAGGATGTATGGCAGAGGCACATAAGAGTAGTAACAGTAAGAAGTGGGAAAAGATTAAATAAAAATGCAAACTCCACGGTCCAATGTAAGTAAAAAAAAAATGCAGCTCCACAGAGAAACCCAATCTCTACCATTTCCATGTACACAAGGTGACATGATACTCTGCAAAAGATCTGGAGAACAAGTTAAAACAGAGGACACCCCCACCCACTCCAGCAAAGGAAAAGTACTGCTGTGGGAACCAAGAAGAACTTTACTATTAGTTATACTGTTAGATGTCTAATTATTAGTTAAGTAGTTAAAAACATTAAAATAAATAACTCATGAACCGATACACTGGATACATTTAATCCAGAGTAACTTCTTTCAAAAGAGAAAGAAGGGGCCAGGGATTTAGCTCAGTGGTTCCGGCCTTTGCCTTGCAAGCACAAGGACCTGAGTTCGATCCAAATATTCCAGAGATATTAAAAATGAAAAGGAGCTCTGACAGGAGGAATTTAGACCCACAGAACACTACATATCCAGTATAAAAAATCTTAATGAAGTGTAAAATTTTCTAGAAGAAATACTGGAGAAGTCTTCATTGAAATGTCAGGAAACAATAAAAATATCTAGGAAAAGAAAAAAAACTTTCCACTATTATTTCTTCACATGTTTGCATAATTTTCATTTTACAAACTGATCACTCACAGGTAGGGGAAAGCTGTTCCCTTTTCTCCTTCATCTCCTGTAACCTCTGCTCCATTGTATGGCGGTGACTTCTAATTTTAACTGAGGCACTAGTCGTCAATGAGCCATGAGATTCAAATAAGAAAACAGGCACGCTGTCATCTAAAAACAGACAAAAATTCAACTTCAGGCTCAAAAAAACGTTTTCGAGTCTCTCAGCATGACTTCCCTCAGGGACGCCCAGCCATGGCCTTCCGCCACCACCCCTGCCGCCACCTCCACGCCTTGGCCACCTAAGAGCTGTGATGCCCCTGCCCCACACTCGCTGAGTCATCTCACCTGACCCAACTCATCGCCACACCAAGCGCCAGTGAAGACGCCAGACGAAGTTACAGCAGGAAGTGGCACAGCCAGGACACGATGTGTTGCCTCGATGTGACAGTAACTTGGGTGTCAGCTCACCCCACCCACCACTTAAGCCAGACCCCCTGCATGAGGGGGCCAGGCATTTTCCCGCATCCTCAAAGACCACACTACCTACGATTTGTCTATTTCAGGTGACAAAACAATAAGACCAAGACTGTTTGAATGTACTTGCCTGTGCAGCTGCACAGGCCTCCTTGGGTCCCTGTGCCCAGCTCCACTCTGTTCTCCTTCCTGCCTAAGCCAGGCCACCTTCCTTCACCATCTGGACCACAGCCCCGGGCCCACTGAGGACGATGTGATCACAAGCACAAAGGACCAGTGTGCTTCCACCCTTACCTAGGGCTGTCTTTTGTCTCTGTAGCTCTTCAGTCATTTTCTCAAATTTCCTTTGAAGTCTTTTGTCATTTTCTGGCGTTTTAGGAATAAAATCTTTGGGTTGCATGCATTTACGCTGTGCAGAAAGGATGTAAAAATTAATAAAGCTGCACTGCAATAAAAAACCCTTCTGTATACATTTCTGATACTTTTATAACAATAATAAAGAGGTGTTTTTTGCACTATTTATGAACTGGTAGCATTTCTTTTTGTGCCATTTTTTAAAAAGTGGAATTGGACAGATTATATAAAAGGCTGTGTCCTAAGTAACTGTTTTCTAAGACATTTTCACTGTGCCAACATCCTTAGTCTCTACAAAAGATCTCAGAACTAGCCTTTTTACCATTTTTGGCTATTCTCATATCATCTGCCCTCCAAAATTATGACTTTAGTAATAAAATACAAAAGCAATTATCTTACAATTACCAAAGAAAAGAAGCATTGTTAATCACCCTCTTGTCTTTAAGTCACGGCAGCTCCACTCAGCTCACACCTGTAATTGCTCAAAGCCCCTGCCACCTGGGCCATGCCCGTGCAGTCCTGGTCACATGTCTAACGGGACCGTGCTCAGAGCAGGGACAGAGCCACTCTGCCAAGACACTCACTCTCTCCAGAGCCATCAGTCTGCTTCCCTTCGCTGGCTGGCAGCACCATGCACACTAACTCTACAGTGTACTCCTGGCAGGCACCCTAAGGAAGTCCGTTCTGCTGCATGCGCTCTGGGTTGAGGCTGAAGCGACAGCCCAACCTGCTCATCCGGGTGCCAGTCTAACTTCTTAATGACAGCACTTCTCTTTGCCCTTTCTGACTATGCCCAGGCTTCTGTTCTTGACTCAGAACATCAGGCCCGCCTTCCTCCCTCCCTCTTCCCTCTCAGGCTGACAAATATTCTCATGTGACAGGCCTTCCTCCTGCAACTTCGTCTGGAGCCTGGCCATTGTGCAGCTTGCCCTCTAGCTTTACTATGACCCAACACACTGAATCTTAAAGTAAACACAAAAGCAGCTGAAGGCCAACCAGTCTCTTCTATGTTTTACAAATGACATCAATGCAGGGATGGCGAACCTTTCAGAGATTTCAGTGGTAACACTGTGGCATACGTGCCATAGCTTCACCACCACTGGACTAAAGGAATTTTTAGTTACCTAAAAATACCTGAAAATAATTATATGATAATTGGTATATATAAAACAATTCTTTTTTGTTTCAGCTTTAATTGAGTTTATTGGTACATTTTAGGGATCCAGTACAGTTACACTCATCGTTGGGATCTTGTACCTTTACATGACAGGTCTCGGTTCTCATTTTTTCCCCTTGTCCCTGCCCTCCCTTCACCCCCTTATAAAACAATTCTTTTTTGTTTCAGCTTTAATTGAGTTTATTGGTACATTTTAGGGATCCAGTACAGTTACACTCATCGTTGGGATCTTGTACCTTTACATGACAGGTCTCGGTTCTCATTTTTTCCCCTTGTCCCTGCCCTCCCTTCACCCCCTTATAAAACAATTCTTGAAAAACATTTTAAAATGATTTTCTAAGAAAAAAAAAGTTAATAAATAATGGCCACTGTCCACATTGAGGCTGCATACTTACCCGTTTTCTTGGCAAGTTCAGTGTGTGCTCGCTGGGATTAGCTGCCGGGAATAAGGATTCATCAGCATGCACGCTAGCTGTCCTGCACCTGTGTAAGCAAGGTGAAGAGCCTGGTAAGCTTCTGTCTCAAACAAACTCACCGAGTCAGATCTGCACATCCACCAGGCAGTACTTTAGGAAATCCCCGAGTAAATAATTTTAACAGATATTTCTTTAAAATCCATGTATTTGATGCCAAATGCAAAAGTCAACGTAAACTTTCCCAACTCTTTCCCATGTGGAGCTTTTAAGTATAGGAGCAGAACAGAGAGAGACAGACAGGTAGGGGAGAACCATTTTTATGCGATGACTTTAATTTGTACCTCAAAATTACCAGTGTATGCTACTCACAAAGGTAAAACCATGTGCTGTCAAATATATAAGGTGAGAGTAAACAGGCCAGTGAGTCAGAGCCAGGGGGACCTAGTGAAATTACAGCTGGACTAAAGTCGGGCTTGGCTTTGCCTCCATCAGGTGACCGCCCCGCCTCTCCACACCTGTGTCCTCTCTCCTTGCACTCCTCGTCCTCCAGCCTTGGGGCTTCCCCATGATTACCTCTTATTAAGCATTCAGCCACTCAAATCTGAACGATGCACTCATTTTCAACATGATCCCCCGCCTCTGGTTTCAACTCTTCCATTCTGCTCATACATTACTTTACTCTCAGAACATTTTATTCACTTCTCCCCACATGTCAAAACCCTTCTATCGCTCCCACGACTTCGCACAGAAGGAACTCACACATAAGCTGTTTTCATGATATGGACTCTAACTACATTTCCCACTACCTTTCATAACCCTACCACTGCACATCTAATATGCAAACACAGATTTGACAAAATCAGAACACAGTGCAACGAAAATTCCTACCAATACTGAAAGGTCTCTAAGACGTGTAAAGGACAAAAAGGACATTTCGGAAACACACATGTATGATCCAGCATGGTCTATGATGCCTGGTTACTGACAACAGTAGGCATCGTCGGGATGAATCTACAGTGCTCAGAAGAGCTCTGGTATCCCTGCCACCCCTCCGAGGTTGTACAACACCAAAGCTATTTTCATAGCAAGACAAATCCATTCTTTTCCCTTTCTAAGGGCACACACAATGTTTATGGAAACCAAGAGGTATGAGCTACCCTAACAACCTGCAGGAAGAGGCAGGTGTGACCATGCAACTGTCACCCAGGAAAGCAGCACAGAAGAAATGTGCAAACCTGCAGTCAAACAGCAGCAACTGCAGCAGGAGAAAGGTAACCAGGCAGGGGCAGGCCCTAGAGCACCTCGGACCAGTGGTGCCTTGGCTCTGGCAGACAGGGTCTAGGGGCACAGGACAGCACTAGGCAGAGGGAGAGCACCCTGACCCGAATTGCGGTGCTGTACGAATCATGCCCGAATGACTGAATGAAGGAACAGCAAACAACAGGACTTCCTGAGGGGTTATGCCAGGCCCAGTGATGAGCAGGACCCCTGGGAGACCCCAGCCAGGAAAGGTGTGAGGGGCGGTAGGACAGGCCAAGTCAGGAGACTGTCCTGGGCCCTGCATGACTGGTGGAGAACCAAGAGTTCAGCAGGGCTGTGGGGTGGAGGGGACTGGACAATATTTAGGTAATAAAAATGGAAAGTCCTTGACCTCTGGTTAAATGTGGTAGAATAAGCATATGATTTTTCTCTTGTCCCTCAAATCCCCAATAAAATGATGGTGAAGGACAACAAAACGACATAAACCAATAAAAGTAAGGACTAGATAAGAGCTATCTGGGAACTGAAAGCAAACAAATAAAAAGGAAACCCGAGTGCAGCTGGGACACAAGGAAGAGTCCACAGGGAGCCCCAGGCCAGGGCCTCCAGCCTGGACGGGGATGCTCAGGTGTGGAGAAGCACAGGACGTGAAGGCACGGAGCCCCTCATCTGCCAGCAGCACACCGCCAGAGCTGTGCCAGGCACCTCTGGCTGCCAGACAGTGGTCTTCACTGCAGCCTTGCAGTCTGTGCTCCTTAGGGTGTGTGCAGGCAGCCCACAGGCTGGCACGGTATTTGACCAGAGGAAGGCAGGAAGCTCTGGTCATGTGACAACACGAATGGCCCTCGCTAAGAAACCTGTAAAAAGGCACCACATAGCATCCAACTCTATTTGTAGGCAATGTCCAGAAGAGGAAAATCCAGAGGCAGCAGTCCTGGCCTGGGAACATGGGGTGACAGCTGAAGTGTACAAGGCTCTGAGGTGATGAAACTTTTGTAAAGTTGCAGAGATGGCTGCATAACTCTTATGAATAGGTTTAAAACCAGGAATCTCCTACTTTAAGTGGGAAAATGGCATGGTGTGCAATTAGATCTTAAAATGCTTAGAAAAAGAGAAAACACAAGACACCCCTACATCCTCACTCCTAAGGCTCAAATTCAATACATGGATAAACACCAAGTGTTGCTGAAGTGGTGGCGGAAATGGAGCACACAAACACTACGGGTGGGAATGTGAAACCGCCCACCCCAAAGCCAAGAATGGATAATGCACCAAGAGATGGGAACGCCGACACAAACATGGGTGCCATAGCAACCTTACCCATAATGACCAATAAAAGGAGAACTATCCAAACTTTCCATCTGTGGTGAATGCATGACCAGTTGTGGTACATGCATGCAACAGAATACTACTTTGCTATAAAAAGGAAATAAAACTATCATTGTATGCAACATGGGTAAAAATCTCAAGAAGAAAAAATCATACTAGGTGAGCGAAGCCAGCCAGAAAACAGCACATGCTGGAGGATTCCACAGTACGAGAGCCCAGAATGTCAGGCTCCTCTGTGGCCATAGAAGCCAGACCAGGGTATGGCCCAGGGCAGGGGCTGGGGCAGGAGGGATACAGATGCAGTGGGATAGAGGGGGCTTCGGCGTGACAGAGATCTGTAATGTGGCTGTGGTAGTGGCGAGATGAATAAGTTTGTCAAACTCAGTGATCTGTACATTTGGATGGGTAGATTTTATGCAAATCTTCTATCTACAAGGCTGAGTGTAAGAAACAAACCAAGCACCTGAGCCTGTAGGAAGTGCAGAGTCTAGAGGTGAGCAGAACACTGGCCCTACTGAGGGAGACAGGAAACCAGCAGGAAGCGTGCCAGACCACCAGGAGGGAGGAGCTTCCAGGGGGGCCTGCTTCCACACACGAAGACCATGGAGTTTCAGCCCTGGACAGTTTCTACAAGCTCCTCCTCATTTCAGCAGAACATTGCCTGCACACCACTTGCATCAGTAACAAAACAGCAAGAGGAAGAGGGTGGCTGGACAGCGGCTGCACAGATAATGTGACAAGCAGAGTCTGGGTGGTGGCTCTGTCACAGCATCGTACTGAAGACATACTCACCGCCACGATGGAGCGCAGCTGGTTTGTGAGAAGTGTCACCCACCCGTGTGGACAGCACTACCTTTTTCTGTTTCATAACAAAGTGCAGCTAACGGATCATTTGCCAAATCATGACAACTGACTTACAGGAAGCCCTGCTTCACAGTGAGTTTCAGGAAAGGCTCAGTACAACCCACAAAACTGTGCCTGGCAAAAGTGACTCAGGTGTAAGATATGTCTGTTCCCTGGAGAAGAAGCTTCCCAACAATTCACCTCTCTGAGTGGGAGGATAGAAAGATGCACAGAGATACACTCCCTAAAGTCTATCTGCTTGGGTTTAAACATTTCCCAGTGAGAAGTGCGCTGGCACTGTAGCGCCGCTGTACGTTAACAACTTGCACACTGCCTTCCACGATACAGCACTGAAACTGCTATGTGAAAACACATTTAAAAGGTGCCCAATCAAAATGTACTGAAGAGATAAAAAAGCTCCCTATTAGATTTTTCCTCAGAATGTAAAATAACATCAGCCCTCCATCTAGTGGTCAAAAGCGGAAGTGCTACGAGGATGCCGTGCATCTTCCAGCCGCCGCTCGCCGCTCCTTCTCCGCCCAAGGAGAGCAGAGGGACAACCCTCCCCGTTGGTGCCCTGATGCGCTCTGCAGCCACCTGTGGTCCTCAGGCTCAGGACCAGTCCCTCCGCTTTCTCCCTCCTCTGCCAGAGCTCCAGCCCAGTCTGCTCAGCTTGCAGTGTATGAACCTCCTACAGAGACGCACGGAGGACTGTAGGGGTGCGGGAGGAAGGATTAGCCTCTTGCATTTCCCAAAAGCTGCAAACGCTGCACTCCTGTGGAGAAGCGAGCAGAGGGCAGGGGCTGGAACGGTGTTTCCCACTCACTTCATCAACAGCAGTGTGGGGCCGTGCAGCCCGTGCACAGGATCCGTCCCTTCGCCCTCAGCCTCGTCCTCTCTGCCGGGCTTCACCCACCTCAGAGCCAGGGCAGCCCCGCAGGAGCACTGGGCACGGAGGTTGACTGGGTCCGATCCCCACCCCACCCTCCAGTCACCTGCTCCCTGGCCACCTGGGGCCCAGCTCAGTCAGGGGCCTCACTGAGATAGAAAGATGCACAGAGATACACTCCCTAAAGTCTATCTGCTTGGGTTTAAACATTTCCCAGTGAGCTGAGGGCTGCCCTCTGGCCGGGGTTGCTCAGGCCAGCGCCCAGCACGGTCAGAAACCAGGAACCGCTTCTTAAGGTGTAGTGACTGCTGACAAAGCTTAACTTTGAGATCAACTTCTTCAAGAGAACGTGGAGGTGACAGCCAAGTTGGCCTTTAGATCCTTCACCTTTATTTTGTTTTAATCCAATATAAAAATTCTTACTATCCATAGGAAATGTCAGAATTTCACCAGTGGCTGTTATACAACTGGCTCTTTCTCCCAGAACAAACCCAGCAAAGCGGGATGCCACTGACACCTAGTGACCACACACTCTTAGTACTCACGGTGTGGAAACCGGGGAGGAGGAGTTACACGGGGCAAGTGACAGCGCAGGACTAGACACAGGAAAGTGAGCTGGGCTCTTACTGCATGTTCTGAGGGAGGAAGTTCAAGCTCACCATGAATCAGAGAAATACAAATAAAAACTATTACTTTACACCTACAAATGAGGAAAGAAAGATACTAGAACAGGTGTCCCTTTATAC